TAAATCTATACCTGGAGTTAGTCGTGTATAATATGCTGAAAATATGTGACCTGTGAAAGTTCTCCTAAGAACATCACCCATATTTTTACTTAACATTTTTCTCTGTTTATGTTTGGAAAAGAATCACCTTCCACACACAGCATCTTAGAAAAACACCTTTCAAAACAGTTAGCAGACTGATTGTTTTTGCTTGACTTACTCAGAGTTCAATGCTGTTCACAGTAATAACTCTGGCTTTTGATAAGCAGTTTAAACATGAATCAAGGAGACTGTCAATGGCTCAAAGAGCATCACGACTATTTTTAACTACAAATGAGATGTCTAGAAAATGCCTGTCAATACACTCAAGCTGCCAAGTATGGTTGCTGGTTTATGACATCACCGCCAGCAACCCTGTATCTTAGAAATTTGGGTCCCAAGAACACAAATGATCAGGTTTGAGGAAAGTTGAGGATGCTTTTCATAGGCTGAGAAAGAAATGTATTTTGCTATTTTAAGTGTAAAATCTTGAAAAGATAATGGTTATATAAAATTATATTTTGTATAAGATTTAATTATTTTCAAAGTGGTTTTCTTATCTGATACTAAACTAAGCATCAAATAAGAAATGGTGTTAAACCTTAAGAAAGGCTTATATAGGATTGTTTATTTTGAAGGTAAGTAAAAATTCTGAATATCTCATGTAAATTCACACTCTAGCATTTACTCACTTCGTAAGCTCAGAGGCTTACTTTTCTTTTGTATCTAATATTTATTTTATTATTCTTTTCTGAAAAATTAAGACATAGGGATAAATAAATTGAAGTCCTCTTACAGTCTAATACAGTATGGTTGTTCAATATTTCTAATGTCTCTATTAGGAATGACACAATAAACAGAGACAACTGAAAAAAAAAGGTAAATAAACAGAACAGAGTTCATGAATTTGATTCAATGCCCCAAAGAGTTATCTCCTTTTCCTATGCATTGTAGATATAGAAGGCCACCAACACTGAGAGTTTAGTTGAAAATTTGTAGTCATCAACATTTCAGAAAGTGTGAACCATAGTTGTGCATCAATATTCAAAAGCCTACAGAAAAACAGAAGTAACACGGCAGCTTTTATTTTATAGGAAAAGAAACATTGTCATGTTCCCCTAAAATGACTTGGCAGGAACCCACTGCTCTATTTCGCTCAATTCTGGGCTCTGGTAATTTTTAGAATTTTTTTTTTTTAATTCTTCTCTTGAAATGAGAACACTGAACATCCTGTGCACCTTAAACTTTTTGGTGTTCTATTCTCTAAAGCACCAAACAGGATCCAGTTGAAATAATGTTATTGCAGAGATGAGTATTAGCCATAATGGCAGAGGAAGAAGGAATTGCAAATGGATTCTCATAGGGTGAGTAAAAATAAGTTCATATTAACTGATCATATAGAAGTGGTGATGTGTGAGATCACTAGCATCGTGAGGTTGATGTATCATAGGAAAGTTTTTATTTCATCTAGCAATATATTTTTCTTACAACCATATACTCAGTAACCAATTGGTTTAGTATAATTATTGAGATGTTAAAAGTGTAAAATTTTTAAATGTACGTTATTTCATAACATAAAATAAGCCATGAAAATACTAATCTCAAGAAACTTCTCCTCTGCATATATTGACAGATAAATCTGTATCTTTGTCTGTATCAGCTCTATCCATCTATACCTATTATATTTATGTCTATAAGTATAGGTATAACGTGATTATGGTTTGCTTGACTGAGAACTGGAATCCTAAGTACTCTTTCCACAGTCACATTTTAAAAAATATGTATTTTATTGCGTTTTAGGTTTTGGGATACATGTGAAGAACATGCAAGAACGTTGCACAGGTACATACATGGCAATGTGGTTTGCTGCTTCCTGCCCATCACCTATATCTGTCATTTCTCCCCCCCCCCCTTTTTTTTTTCAGACAGAGTCTTGCTCTGTCGCCAGGCTAGAGTGCAGGGGCACAATCTTGGCTCACTGCAATCTCCACCTCCTGGGTTCAAGCAATTCTCCCGCCTCAGCCTCCGAGTAGCTGGGACTACAGGAGTGCACAACCACGACTAGCTAATATTTTTTAGTAGAGATGGGGTTTCACCATGTTGGCCAGGATGGTCTCAATCTCTTGACCTCGTGATCCACGTGCCTCAGCCTCCCAAAGTGCTGGGATTACAGGCGTAAGTCACCTTGCCAAGCCAACAGTCACATTTTTAGACAGAATGTGTAGTAGTTGAGAATAGATCTCCCTTCCTAATTGTGTGTCACATTGGCAAGTTTTACAATTTAAAAGTAGGGAAAATGTTAAACCTCCCTAATGACATGGTTGTAGCAACTGAAAGATATTATATTTGTAAAATGTTTAAAATAAATCCTAGCATGAGTTTTATGCTCAATAATTGGTGATTATGAGAAAAATTATGATTATGATGCTAATTCATGTTCGTCTTCTATAAATAGGATTATTCATACTTACATAAAATCTTTTGGTGTTGTTTGTTATAGATTTAGTTTTTAATGAAAGTGCCGTATGTAAAAGAAAATAAATCCTTTCATAAATCACAAATATGGCTCATATATAGAAGAACCATAATAGAGTCTGTTCTTCTTGATCACCAATACATCTCTTTTTCTTCCTTGCTAAACAATTGGTAGAAAGGTAAAATCATCGTCTACCTTAGTAGTAAATTAGAAATGTAAGGTGATGCACTTGAAACTTGGTGCCTGAAATTGTTTAAAAATAATTAAGGAAATATTGTGAAATTGCATTCATTTGGAATTAGGCTTCACCTTCTGGTGACTCACTTGACACAAATATCTCAGAATTCACCTTTGCTATTGTTTTCCTTTGCAAACTGTTCACTGAAGAAATAAAAAGCATACTAGGGCAGGAATATTTTTTAAATAATGGTTACATAAGAAGTATTTAACTAGTTTACATTTCAAAACCTTGTTAGCATATGCTGTGACACTAAAGCTTTTGTAACATAAATTAATAAGGTGTAAGTGAATATTTTGTAGTGACAGATGATACAGAAATCCCATGGTATTTCTTAATCTTTTTTCTATATGCATACTAGTAGAAGTTACTTAAACCCTAAAGGCAATTAGCACTTCTCTCTTAAAGACTTATAAAACTTAAATGTGTCATTGCTTGTAAAGTGCTTTAGAATGCACAGTAGGGACTCAGCAAATAGTAAGGACTCAATGGAAGTGTTCAAATAATGATTATTGTTATAATCTTTGTTATATAAATTCTAATGTATATTATACCTGAACTTATACTTAACTTTATGTATCAGCTATTCAAATGTATCAGTCTCAGCTTCAGCCAAAAACAAAACAAAAGATAATATTTTTGTTAGGCCGGGCGCGGTGGCTCAAGCCTGTAATCCCAGCACTTTGGGAGGCCGAGGCGGGTGGATCACGAGGTCAAGAGATCGAGACCATCCTGGTCAACACGGTGAAACCCCGTCTCTACTAAAAATGCAAAAAATTAGCTAGGCATGGTGGCGCGTGCCTGTAATCCCAGCTACTCAGGAGGCTGAGGCAGGAGAATTGCCTGAACCCAGGAGGCGGAGGTTGCGGTGAGCCGAGATCGCGCCATTGCACTCCAGCCTGGGTAACATGAGTGAAACTCCGTCTCAAAAAAAAAAAAAAAAAAAAAAAAAATTTTTTGTTATAGGACATTTTATTATTTTTACTTACCTTTCATGAGGATATCTCAGAAATAAAAAAGTATAGGAAGTGATACCATTTGAGCATTCTAGTTGTTGAAGTGAAGTCACTACATATTTCTACTTCAATTGACGTAACAGATATAACTTCACAAAAGAGTACACTCTTACTAACGCAGTCTGTTAGATAGAAGAGCATAAAATTTTTAAGAGAGGAGATTTAAGAAAAGCATTTCAGTAGTTTTTATTTTTCTGTTTCTGCCATTGAATGCTGTAGTAATTTAAGGTGAGACCAAAAAGAGAAGTTTTGCAGTAGAGAAATGTAATCTTATTTGTGTTCAGCTCATCATTCTTCCATGTTATTGCTTACTAGCAACATCAGTGTACCAGTTTCTGACTGCCTTGTTATAAAGTGCTACCATCTGCCATTGTGCATCTTACTATTACTGGCATGCTGGCTATAGTTTTAAAAAGGTATCTCCCTTCTTGAATACACAATAGCCTCCAAATGGCCTTCTCCTTACCACTTCTGAATGCTTTCATCCATTTGTCATATAACTGTAAGCATAATTTTAAACCTAAATCAGATTATATCACTCTAGGTAAAGCACTCCAACAGTTTTCAATTGTGCTGGGAAGGAATTCAAAGCTCCCTACTGTGGCTTACAAGGATGTCATGCCCTAACTGCTGAACTCTTCGGCATCATCCCATACAGTCTGAGCATTCACCAGGCTCCAGCCATGCCAGCCTTCCTTCTGTTCTTCCCACCTCCATGGTTTGCCTGCCTCAGAGGCTTGGAACTGGCTCCTGAATTTTTCTGTAATACTCTTTCACAGTATGTTTTATATGTTGGCCCCTTATTATTATCAAATGATCTGTTCAAATGCAACTTTCACAGACATCTTCCCTACACTAGAAAATTTGAAGTAGCCTGCTCATCCGTGTAATTCTTTAACTAGAATTCGTACAAAATAGCATCACCTGGGTAATTTAAAACAAAATAGAGAAATATTCCTTGGCCTATCATGCAGACAATTAAACTTTTTAAATGTTAGGGTGGAGTTAGAAAATTATAGAAATTTTAACAGAAGGAAGGTTGAAGAGTGCTTCTGAAATAAAGGATTAACAGTTCTATCCAGAAATTTATAAAATAAATCTGCCATTGTCTAAACATCTAATTGGATTATCTATAAATTTCAGTTCTTAACCAGGTGCATGGTCTCATAACTATAATCCTATCATTTTTCAAGGCTGAGGCAGGTAGATCACCTGGGCCTAGGAGTTTGAGACCAGCCTGGGCAACATGGAGAAACCCTGGCTCTAACAAAAAGTACAAAAATTAGGTGTGGTGGCACACCCCTGTAGTCCCAGCTACTTGGGAGGCTGAGGTAGGAAGATCACTTGAACCTAGGAGGGTGAGTCTGCAGTGAGCCGTGACCACGTGACAGCAGTCCAGCTGGGCACCAAAGCAAGACACTGCCTCAAAAACAAATTTAGTTCCTCAGAAATAGAGCCTTAGATAAGGATTGAGTGAAAGTGATTTATAGAATGTTAAGCTGTTAGTAAAGTAGCAAACTGTGACAACCGTGAGTGCAATGTCAAGTTACCTTCCGGGTTTGATCTTACAAAAAAATTCTAAAAACAGTATAGGTGATGCTGCTGAGCTGTTCCTCTTAAAGCTCCCACTTCCCAATACTGTTACATAGGCAATTAAATTTCAACATGAGTTTTGGCAAGGACATTTAAAGATATTTAAGCCATAGCAAACACTGAGAACATTTTCCATGTATGTCATATGGACAAAGCCAAAATTCATGTGCCCAGATTCTTCTGAAAAGTCCCTAATGATAAATATTAAGCATTTTATTCTGTAAATAATATTTTAGTAAACCGAATACAGAAAATGCCCATTTGCGTAATAGCATTAATATAATTAAATACTTTATACTGTTACACATAAACATATTGAATGTGTTGCGGTTCATAGGCCTATGCAGAGCTATTTCAATGTGTACATTCAAATAATTATATGAATGTTTGAATAATCATGTCTCGTCAATCTTCATCAAAGATGATTTAAGTTTTTTCTGACAGAGGTACCAAATAGGTGATTGATAGATGAATAAAGTACACAAATTCTAATTCTGTATTACGTAAAGAGCCAAATAATTTGAGGTTGGTTGTTTTTTCTAGATTCCAAAGCTGACTAAAAGCATTTTTCCTTGACCAAAAAAAACAAAATAGAATTTAAACGCAGATCATTATGTTGACAGCACAACTGTCTAATTCAATGCCACACTGATGCAAGTAAGAAGGAGCCAAGATGACAACATTTAAAATATCCTCTTTAAAGTTCAATTCCATTTTACATACTATTCTTCCACATTGTGCAATTATGCATTATCTTAGAATCACACCAATTTGATTCTTCTTGGTGAGCAAATATTATATATATTAAAATAGCCCTGGTTTGTTTTAACAAAATTATATTCTATTTTTCTTTGATTCTCAAAATATACCATATACCAATCTTTTTACCACCATTTGAAATATTAGTTTTAAATCCAGCACTGCTTCTTTATATTTTATTGTGCTTTCTAAAAAAGATTCAGACTGCAAGAATCTGAAACTCATGGTTTGCTCTTTTGAAAATCAATTCTATATTATGTGTTTTAAGAGAAACAACTTAAACAGGCTCAACATCATCAAATAAAATGTATACAAATCATCTAAGGATGTCCACCACTTGACAATTGTGAGTTAGGCATTTATCATCATAGCAGAGTGTGTGTGTGTATGTCTGTGTGTGCATTTACCTGTTCCACACACACACATACATTTTTCTGCTTTTGAGGCACAGATATTTTATTAATTTACATAAGAGTTAAATACTAAATTAATTTACTTCTTTGAATGTTATTGAAGCAAATTTTGGAAAGCACTTATTTTCATGATATGAAGCTTCTGTATATGTATTAATTTAATTGGAGGATTGCTGACTAAGCTTTAACAATTGGCTTATTCCTGTGTAACATGGAACTGTTAAAGAAATAAGAATAAAAGAAGAGACAGTAACCTTAGCACCATAATTCAAGGCATCTTCTCATGGACAAAAGATAGAAACATGATTAACAGGTAACATTTGAAAAGCACAAGTAGAAAGTATAGAAGTAACTGACCCTCCCCTCCTGCCTGACAGTTTCTGGGGTACCTGTTATGTGTTTTCATAGCTCTTTATTCTCCTCCATAGAATCCATTTACATGTTGCATTATATATTTTATAGTTAATGCCAATCTGTCTCTATGAAAAGTAAACTTTTTAAATTCAAATATATGAATAACTTTTTTGAATATATGATAAACATTGTTTTTGACAATGAAAGTATTAAAAGTATTTGAATAAATCCTAATTAATTTTGTGATTGTATATATTTTCAATTAAAATATGTGTGCACATACATATACAGATGGATGGATATATATATGCGTGTTTGACAATTCAGAAATCAAATTCAGAACAATAAATATATAATAACTATGCTCAAATTAACTTCAAATTTTATTAAATATACATACATTAATAACTGAAATCTTTTAGTGTTGCAGGCATTAAGGCTAGTGCAATCAATATGATCAATATGCTTTCTGTGGACCTTAGATAAGTTAATACATATAAATGGCTTATAACATCATTATTATAATCATAATGATATTTTTCTATAAAAACATAACATTCTGTGACAATTAAACTTTCACAAAGTAAACTCAATCTTTTCTATTCCTTTGGGCCTCACAGAAATATAACCTTGACTAATGTGATGAAATAGCTGTGTAGCTTTGTGGCGCTTGACCACCTGGAGAGGAGAATATTGATTGTATAATTAACTGTGACCTGCAAAGTATAGCCACCAAAATTACTTTTTAAAAAACAATTTCCCTTTCTGAGCATTTAAATGGAAAACAGGAGAAAAAAGAAGATACTTAAAGAGTAATAGTCACTAAAGTTTAAATAATCATCATGATTGTGCCTTTCTATAATTCATTGTAATTGCTGATATATTCAGATAAGAAAACAGACTGGTATAAAATAAATTGGACAAGGAATCCTAGTAAAATATTTGTGATTTGAGATTTTAAGGATGGGAAAATCACTAGTTTTTACATTTTGTCATTTATAAGAGGGACTAATGCAGTTTAAAAAACCCGATAGTCCTAATTGAAGTTTTAAAAAATGAACAGAAATACCATTAATAAAAATAACACTTTTGAAAATTGTAAGTGATAAAATGGGCCAATGTTGTTGTCATGTTAATAAAATAAATATTGTTTATTGTAGCTTGCCAAGCCCCTTCTTACATTCTACATTTTTTAGTAATACATGCATCTCCAATTTTTAAGAGGTGCCTGTTTACCTTTTATACAAATGAGCAATACACACATACTTATAATCGCAAATGTATTTAGGTATCATTGCCTTTTAAAATATATTTTAAAGTCATATCAGTTTATAGCAAATAGTTTATGTTGTCATTTAAATTGACCTTATATCATTTAATTACAATTCCTTTTACTTTCATTTCTTACTATAAAAAAATGTTGAATATATACTCTATACATTAGAATATTAGACTATATATATATATTTAGCTAAAAAAAGTCTTCAATGTCTACAGTCACAAGCTGCACAGGCAACATTATAGACAGTTTCTAGGTCTCCATACACAAATAACATTTTAATATTTATGCAATTATATTATTGGTTTTCTAAAAATAGAAGTACACTCTACAGTTCTTTCACTTAATATTCTCAGTGATTCATCAGCAACATACTGATCAATATATTAAATATATAATATATCTCAATGATTGATCAATAATATATATCATTTACCTTACTTCTTCTAGTGCCTTTTCCAGGTTGCCTAGAAATGGGGCCCAAGGTAAAGATTTTTGTGTATGTGATTTACTAGCAGAGTGCTCCCAGGAGAAATCTGGGAGAAAATTAAGGAATCTGAATAAGGTATGGGAAGAGGTAAACACAGGTACTTTTAGTTGAAGTCTAGCCTCAGCTTTATCCTTGGGGACTTCTGGAGTATGAGTGGCACAACAGAGTTGCTTCATCTCCAAGGAAGGGGGCTAGATTTTGCACTGCAGTGTCAGTATGTAATTAGCAACAAGTGTCTTTGCAACTCCCAGAAGGAAACATAATCTCCCAAGTGAGGTGATTACAGTTGCTGAAGCCAATTCCCTAGAAATATTGTAAGCTGTTGTAAATTATAAGTGGTTAGCCACCCAAACTCACAGAACCTGGGGGATGAGTTTATCTGGCTGTCAAAAGGAATCTGGGCAATGTACCAAAATATGCTACTGGTGGCATTATATCACATTGCCAGGATATGGAACTATGCTTTAATTACTTTTTGTTGAGGAATATTTTATTGTTTCCCTATTTAGCAAGTATAATGTTATTGATTATTTTTGGGCCAGTGATTTTTTTTTTGCATATTATAAAGCCTATCTTTAATAAAAGATTCTGGAAGTTGAAATGTTGAATCAAAGGTTATATTCATTTTAAAGTTTGATAGATGTTGCCAAATGATTATCCAGAGGTTCACATTCTTCGTATTTTCATTCACACTGTGAATTAAATTTTATATCCTTAATTATCTTGATGTGAAAATGGTATATTGGTTTGGTTTGATTTTTCACTTTTTAAATTATAGAGAATGTTTAGCTTATTTTGTTGCCTAAAAGTAATATGCATTTTGGCTTCTGAATAAATTATTTTTCTGTGCTTTTTAGGAACCTAATTTTTCTTATTAGGTTTTAAGAACCATACTTATATGTTAAGGGAATTAATAAATTTGTATGGCATTTACTCATATATTATTCCAAGTTTGTCTTTTGATCTTTGCTTTTTATTTTCACTACGAAAAAATCTTTAATTTCTTGTAATTGAATTTACTCACCTTTTTAATTCCTGAGCTTTGCAGTTTGTTTAGGAATATCTCCTTACTTCATACAAATATACGTATTTTAAAACTCCACATATTTTCTTCCAAAAATTTAAAAATTATCTTTAAGTAAAAATTCAATTTTTTAATTTGAGGTAAAATTAAATTTAGGATATTTTAAAATTCAATTTGAAACTATTTTGCATTGAGTAAAGTTTACTTTGTGTAATTGATACTGCATGACTATATGCTTTGTAAAATATAATTCATATCATTGAATACCCAAATACATGGAATTTGTATGTGCCTGAAGATATATAAACAAAATTACATTTTAATAAGTTGATACATTTGTTCAAGTAGATTAATTATAAATAGAAATTAGTGTT